GGGAAAGAGAAGGCTATAGTAGAAGGTGAGGAAAAAAGAGAGGAAGAGAGGGGCCATGGGAGATAACTTGGCAGGCAGACAGGAGTAGAGTAGAGGGGAAAAAATGAGTGACAAGGAGAGATGGAAGAGACAAATCCAGGCAGAAAAAAACAGCAAAGATTGTCATGGTGACATTAGGCTCCTTCTCTGCTCTTCCTTTACACCTTTGTGTATGTCCAGAGTGAAATGTGTAGCATTTGGTTGCCGTGAAAAACTAAAAAACTCAGATTTCAGATGTTTCACCCACTGTTAGAACTGGGACATTGGCCTTCTGTTAGCATTTCAAGAAAGTACCAGACAGAGAATGCATATGTGTGTCTGTTTGTTATTTTCCAAAGCAGCAATAATTAAAGACCATGTGCACATTTGCATGTGTTTGCCCCAAATGCACCCCCTGCTCTGGTTGGTGAGGAATGTTGATTATAGTTAACAAAAGGATCATCAAACATGTGTGTCCTTGTAGGTTCTGTAATTCATGAATGGATGTTTGTCTCTACGTGTGTGTACAAAGTGAGCAAGAAGTCAATACGCAGGAGACATTTTTTTTCAGTCACGTTTTAGAAAAGTTATAATTTCAAGATTTTAAGGGGATTTTTTTGCACATTTTCTTTCGCACTCAGACACTTATTTTTATAAACTGTATAGTAAATGACACTGTCACTGTCATCACTGTAACTCTCATAATTAGCATTTGTTTCCTCCGCAGAATTTTTTTGGCCTCAGATTCACTTCAGCGTCAGTGTGAGCACAGAGCATGGCAATGAATGCCTTGTTTACTTCAATTTTGTCGAAGAAAACTCAAGGATGTGATGAACATTTGAGATTTTTTATATTATCATATATACAGTGTTGAGGTGTATATAAACAAGGCTCATATGTAGAGGTGTTGACCTTATTTATAGCTGAAATCAGATGAACAAATGCTATAGTCCTTTCTTATATTTACAGACATACAAAAAGTTATAAGAGACACTTTTTAGTTATCCTATCTTGATAGGTCCCTTCAGTTATATATGATTTTGAAAGTACATTGGTCTTTGTGGTTGTTGTCTTAAACATTCTGCCCATAATTTTCTTTATTATGCCCATTTTGAAAGAGATGGACAAGTAACATGTACAAATCAGTATACATCTTAACACTGTCACTGGTGCGGTTTTCTTCTTTTAACGCCCCGTTATTTATATAGGTAGTGTTAGATTTCAGTGGTTTTCACATTTGGTTGGGTCTGCAGCAGGAAGCTGCTAAGACACCAAAATGCTTTCCCGAGCACACACAGTCACATAGCCCCACACATTCAAAGAGAATTTCCCCAAATTCTCTTCACACCAACTTTCTAAAACACCTCTACTCCCTGGGAACAATGGGAGATCTCCCAATCTACCTTCTCACAGGGAACCTCGAAGCCATCCCTTCCTTTTGATCTACATGACCACCTGTGGCTGACTGGACTTTACGGCTCGGTCCACTTCCCTTGTGATAACCCCCCACTGAGCAACAAAAGGGTCTTCCAACACTGCTGAATCATGGAGCAAGAGTGCCACATAGTGGCGACTGCAGGCATCACATGATAACAAGAACAATAATATGATTGGCCACAAGAGGCCTAGCCTCTCTCTTCCATTGGCCTACAAGATTTAAACACACACCCGGGAAGTCGAAAACCACTCCCCCCATACAGGTATATAAGCATAAACAACTAACGATACATTAGAAGTTATTCTTGACAGGATTTGCGTATTAACTACTGTTGTACGAGATTTCCTTGAATACTTCTCCAGTTGTTTATTTTGCTTTATTGTTGGCCCTGTTTTGTTTGATGTTTGTTATTAAAACAAATCGACCATCTACCGGCTGCTTCCACTCCTTGCCTGAAGAAACCTCACACAGCAAGAATCTTTCAGTAGGTAGACTTTATCAATCAAAGTAGCAGATTTAGGAGTAGTATAGTAGTAGTAGTAGTAGTAGTAGTAGAAGTAGTAGTAATACAGGCTGATATAGGTATTCACATACATGCTGTGAATCATCCTTTTTGAGCACCTTAATAACAAGACAAAAATGAGTTTACTCACTACAATTAGCATCAAATCAGTATTATTTCATCTATGCTGTTTTACATTCAGATGTTTTCCTATAATGTCCATTTGTCATATGTTTTATGTCCTCAATTCAACTCACTGGGGATTTCACCAAGGAGCTGGTGAGGGAATCATTACAGAAAGTGTAGCCTTTTCATATATTAGCATTAGCACAAACTCACACGGCACCATTCTGCACAATCTCAGGAAAGTTTCTTATGTTCAGCTGAAATCTAAAAGCAGCCTGATGGCCCCATTTTCACTGAAAGACCTTTCTAGGTCAGATAAAACTGCTGTTAAGCACATATTTTAGACAAAGGTCACTGCAATTTTACACAATGAATTCTACGGCTGTGCACCAGCTTAGTCAGAAAACTTAAAAGATTAAAAAATAATCAAAACGAATGTTAGCTTCCCTCCCTTACCAATGCTGGGTCTTAATGTGTTTGTTCCCTCAATGTGTGTTAAGACAAAACACAAACACATTTAAGTTGAAGTGAAAGCAGGAACACATTGTCACACAAATCACAATATAAGCAGAATATCACACAAGTTCATTCCCAGCAGAAACCCTGGGTTTGCTATTACTACACACACGTAGACCATCCATCCATTTTTATCTGCTTATCCATTACCGGGTCGCAGGGGCAGCAGTCGCCACCCAAATCACATTGCACCGTACCAACCCCCCTAAACCTTCCTGTGGTTGGTGAGTCCACTGGAAGGGACCCACCGCCCTAAACGGGATTCGAACTTACCCAGGAGGTGAACCCTGGGGTTCCACACCAATGACAGAGACATTCTGGGCCAAAGTGCCACACACACAGACACACACGGAAATTAGCGTTGTGTAATTGCTAACACTGAAACTTAGTTGGCTCCTCATGAGTCCCAGTGTGGAAAAATTTATAACTCCTGAATTAGCCTTCCAGGAAGTCAGATGGCTGCAGATGATTCACAGCCGATCAG